TGTAAATCTGTGGAGTTCTTAAGTTAGCGATTGAAAATCCACTTCACAAAAGCCACACTTGTCTACTGGAAACAATCTCTTCTATTTTGGGCTCCCTGCGAAGCTGATCCTTGGGAGCCTTGGGCAGGGTCTCCATACAAGGTTGTGCTCGTGAGACATGTGGAGAGTCCTCATTTGTGCGTTGACAACGTCCTATGATGCACTGTCATCTTTCAAGGTTATGAACAAAAAGTCATTGCCCCACTCTGGATTTGATCTTTGCCTGGAAGCCATTTCTGAACATGAGAACACTTTGCTGGTTTGAAAGACTGGTTTGGGCTTACATAGTTTCTCCAAATCGTTTGGAAATGGAAATAAGTGTTATGTCTCACTTCTATCATTTTAGACAGCAGCCAGGTGGCACCCTCCTCCCTGCCTGGAGATCTCAGCTAGATCAAGTCCATCAGGTGCAGTCTCTGTTTTCCATGTTACCACGGGTGACCCTTGTGCTCAACTCGACTGCGTAATTGGTCCCCTTCAGCTTCCTATACTGTTCTCTCTTCTCCAATCCCTCCTTGACACCTTGGAAGCTTTTTAGCTGCTGTTAACACCCTCCTCCAGGCTCTTTAGGTTTGTACTAACAATCACAAAGTCCTGCCAGCATCCATATGCCACTCGTTCCCAATGCCAATGCCACATGTCTTGTTTTTGTTATGCAAGCAGCCTACTTTCAGCTACCTGGTTCCTGTATTAGGGCTTGATAGAAAAGCAGAATTGCTCTGAAGGATGCAGAGTCGGGGGCTTGTTGGAGGGATTAGACCTTAGGCCATTGTGGAACTGATGGGTGAATCTGCAAGTTGTTGCCTCTGCATTTTAGTACCAAACATGTTCTTATGTTCATGGTGGAGACATACATGGAAACACAGGGGTCTCTTTAGGCCTAAGTTGGAAACTGGCACTCTTTCATTTCTGCTTCACAAAAGGGAGTCAGCACAAGCCCAAGGTTAAGAGATAGGTAAGTAATTCCCACTCACAGTGGAGAGAATATGCAAAATTCCATGACACAAGGCATGCAGATGAGGAAAGGTAAAGAACTGGGCCAGGAATACAATCTGCAAGGGCAGCAGAAGTGACCACTACTGCCCCTGAATTCTATTGGCATTTAGTTGGTATATACCCCACACAGAGAGGTGTTACATTACATTTTATTATAGCTATTTAGCTACACATCTCCTCTACTTACCTCTTTGAGGGCAGGGACTATCTTTTGTATCAATATACTCCTATTTCTTCCAGCACATTGCCTGGCATATGATAGGTCTTGGAAAATATTTGTTGAATTAATGAAAGAAGCCACGTCTGGGCTCCCAAGTCACAGGGCCTGTGGTGACAGCCCTGATTTTCAAAACCTCATTCAGCGAGGTTCCTTTGTAGTGTTTGCCTCCATTGTTCCACCTCTCAGCTCCTTCCTCCTTCGTCACCTTCTTGTTCCAAACCTCATTCCTGACCTACTCACATCTAGAGATGAGAGAACCTCATAAACAACACTGCCCTTTGAGGTTTGTGTTTTACAGTAAAATCTCCTTCAGGACAATTACTCAGATAACAAAGATGGTTGGAGCATGTGCCATGAACACCATGTATTAAGAAGCCAACGGGGTGAACTGAATATTTTCCTGTGCAGATGACACATCACTTGCCCATTAAATCACAGAGTTTGGACTGAAAAGGACAAATAGTTGGGCCTGAAAACAACATCATGAAGATGAAAAGAGAAGAGTGCACATACAATGAGTCACGCTGATCAGAATGACTGGCCGTATCAGCATAAAATGGGGAGAATTAAAGGCAGGTGACGTGAAAAAGCCTGTCATGGGACACAGTTGCAGCGGTTCGGACTGCAGCGGCAGCTAACATCCATTGAATGGCTACTCTGAGCCAAGCATTTTGTAATTATTAGCTCATGTGATTCCTGCAAACAACCTACAGATAAATCTAAAATCTTCCCATTTTACAGATGAAGAAACTGAGGTAGCCAGCAAGCGGTGGAGCTGAATTTGAGCCCAAGGCCTGGTGCAGAGCTACTCTTGCTGTCAGTTCACATTCCTAAAACGAAGAGCACAGTAATCCTGCTCTCCTCTGAGCTGGTATGCCCATTTCTGGAGTCTTGCTGTGTGAGGACATCACAAACCAAAAGTTGTCCCAAGACCAGGATGTGACAGAGCTGGACACTTACTCTCAGGGTTGGGGAAAACTGAGCCCTTTTGCTAGAATTCTGAAAGGCGTGTGCCTTGCAATATTTAAAGACTGTTATGCAAAAGAAGAATAAGAGTTCTGTTCAGTAGCCACAAGGAAATTACCAGTTTAGGCTGACAAACATTTACAAAGCGCCAGGACCTCACCAAGAACTCTGCTTGAGAATGAGGATGCAGAGACAAGCTATAAAAGGACATACTTCTGTCCTGGAGGAGCTTCTAGTCTAGAGGGGCGGGGAGGCAGGCCTGGGCTCTCATAGACATTTCTGGTTAGTTTTGCAGCTGGGCAGTGAACTGGGTTGCAAAAGGGGCAGCAGGGGTTCTTTCCCTGGAAGTACGTGAGTGGGTCCTGAAACTTCACCCGTCCAGACAGCAGAGGGGCTTTCCACAGTGGGTGGAGCTTGGGTCGGGTCTCAGACCTCAGACTGGCGGTGAGAACATAAACTCCTGGAAGGTGTGGAATTTTGTTGGTTGTGCTTGTCACATTGCCAGGACCTAGGACAGTGCCTGGCACACAGTAGGTGCTCAATAATTGAGTATCTGAAAGAATAAAGATGTAAAAACTGCACGTACTTGCTTTGACAAACTGGAAGATCTGACAACAGCAGGCCCGCAGGCTGTGTGTGTGGGAGTGAAGACGACGTTCCTGTGTAACATGCAGCTGGTGCAGCTTCACTCAGTCACTTACCTGATCGGTCCTGGACTTAGCCTACAGCTCAGTCACTGAGCTCTCTGCCAACTTTGAGTGTGAAATTGAATACTACGGCTGAAATTTGGGGGTGTAGAGTTCCAAAGTGTAAGAGTTTTCTGGCAATGAACAGATTGTATTATTTGAATATCAAAAAAAAAAATGACCTATGTGACATTTTTGTGGCTCAATTACATCATTCAAGAGAAATATCATCACTTCCATGATGTTTGTACAATATAGATATATCATCCATTCCGACAGCAAGGGAAGAGAATAGCTGCTTGAATGAGAATTTTAAAAATATATAAGCATTATATATAGTACATCATTATTTCTTTTTTTTTTCATCATGAAAGTACTGCTTTCATAAGCTTATGACCAGATTGGTGCTGAGTGTCGTTGGTAGTTGCTAAATGCCGAACAACAAATGCTGCTCCTTTAGCACGTGTGCATGTAAGAAACAGACTTGTCTTGCCAGATACTTGCTTCCTAATATATACAATAGATAATGAAGCAAAATATTTGAGAGTTTGGGGATGATCTAGTTTTTTCTTTATTGATATCCTTTCACACTAAGATCATTGTGGGGAAAAAAAACTGCTTCAAGGAATAATTTACCCACATAAGAAAAGCAGTGAGCCTCCTCGAAAAGAACCCAATTTGGTTCAAAACTATGACAACGTCAGCAAGAAAAACAAGGTGCCTTTTCAACAATAATAGATTTATCTTTTCCCAGACTTCGAGACTGATTTCTACACTGACTTGCTGTGCTTAGCAATGTGAAAATGTTCTGATCCGTAGGAGATTATTTGCTGGAATGCAGGGGAAAAAATGTGCCCGATTCTGAATTTTTACCAATAACTGAGAGAGCAGGGAGTCACCATTTGCTAGTTGTCAGAGCCAAAACTTAAACTGCAACCAAGAGGCTAGAATAGTGCCTCTGTGTTCTGATTTACAGAAGGAGAACTTCGCTGGCTGAGAAACCAGGAGATATATACATAAAGAATTGTTCGTTTCATACATTTACATTCATGTAAAATAGAAACAATTTTGATGTTTAAAGTGAAATATTTCATATCAAGTATTAACTTCTGATGAGGTTTGCCTTTTCATCTCTGCAGTGCAGGTTTTGGGATGTATTCCACAAACACAGACAGGTACACACGCACACCCAATCTATACACGGCGACACGTGTAAAAAACATCGTGCGAAGATGCAAGAGGAGCTTTTAAGCAGGGCCCAGACAACCTGCCATCAAACAAAGCGTCCTCAATGAAAGAACTTTCTTTTTCTTGCAAAAAAACCCTGGAAATAAATAGGAATCCAACTCAGGGGGGTGACTTGGCTGCTTTTGAGCTCCCTACAGCCCTAAAAGTTTATTATTCTATGAACTGATTCTTCCCATGATTCCTCCAACAACAAACTGCTCCTTGGGAAAAGAAGGGACCATTTGGGAAGTGATGTTTATTCTTTTCAGCCACTGGCTGCACATAAAAGAATCCAGGGCCGGAGAGCTGACTCCAGCATGGGCCCAGTAGCTGAGCAACACTCCACCATACCGGTAAGGCATAAGGTCGATGAGGTCACTCAATGGACAACTGGTTTATACTGTGATTTTTTTGAAGTGATATATTTTTCATTAAGTTCAAAATCTTGGTTCTGCCCTGGCTGGTGTGGCTCGGTGGATGGAGCGCTGGACTGCAAAGCAAAGAGTTGCCAGTTCGATTCCCAGTCAGGGAACCTGTCTGGGTTGTGGGCCAGGTCCCTGGGAAAGAGTGCAGGAGAGGCAACCACACACTGATGTTTCTCTCCCTCCCTCCTTTTGTCCCTCCCTTCCCCTCTCTCTAAAAATAAATACATAATATATATTTTTAAATCTTGGTCCTTACATTTTGGAAAGCATTCCACACACCTATAAGAAGCAATCTTTTGTGCTCTGTGCTTCTGTCTCCACCCACGATGGTTTTCTCTGGGGCACAACTCTCCAAGTTCCTCAAGTTTTGTCCCTGTCCACTTTGAGAGACCTTAAAACCCAGAACAAAAGCAGCATGAAAGAATGGATGGGAGAATGAGAGAGGACTCTAAATTCTTTTACTTTGCTGTAAGCAAGTTAGAATACAACGTTTCTTCTTTTTGGTGTGTGAACTCTCACAGCATGTTGTTACACAGTAGAAAAACATACAATTTTCAATTCAACTGATAATCTTCCACCTAAAGCATTTCAATAGAATCCCAATGCTTCTGTTCCAATGTAAGTATATTATTTTAAAGTATACTTGAAACTTTAAGTGTGTACACATTCAGAGGTTTAAGAAACTTCAAAAGCCCCAGATGCAGAGTCTAGGAAGCTGAGGGCTGTGAACTTTGCTCCTCACTCAATCCATGCTTAATTTTGCACTCCTCACAGGTAAGCAGGCAGTGCCTAGGATAGAAACAAAAAGAGAGGTTTGTGCTTTGAAACTGGAAGCTCTTAGTCCTAACACAATTTTCCTGAAGTTCACAGGCCTGATTTCTTAAGGAATAATAGGAGCTGTTCCTTGGTTTGAGACTGCCAGAATTTCACTCAAAGAAGGCCAATATGGGGATTTGCTGTGGGAGTTGGGGAGGGAGGGAAAACTGAGTGGGGGAAGGTTAAAGGTGGAAAAATGAGACAACTGTAATAGTGTAAACAAAAAAGTATTTAAATTTCAGAAAAAGCCAATAATGATGCTCATGTTTGATGTTGTTTTCACAGTACTGTGCTACCTCTCAAATACAGGGTCCAGCGCAAATGACTCCCCTTTTTTTATTATCAAATCTTTCATTACAAAACCATAAGCATGTGATTCTGTAACATAGCATCACACTCAAGCACACCCTATATGACATTTTAGGTGAAGTGTCCAAATTAAAACTATAAATTATTACACTCATATTAGTACCCTACCAACCACACTCCAGCAGGCATTACTTCTGCCGGACTCTGTAAAATCCCCTGGGACAAGTGAGGGTCTTTAATGAAACGTGTCCCCAACACTAGTCCTCTAATACTGTAGTAGCAGCAGCTATTATTTGCTGAGCACTTACTGAGTGTCATAAGTTGTCCTTTCTATTCCTTAGAACATTCCGTGAAACAATTCTGCTCACCATTTTATACAGATTTGAAAATGGAAGATTAGAGAGTTTAAGAAACTTTCCCAAGGTTATGTAGTTTATTTAGTAAGTGGTAGAACTGGTTTTCAACCCAGGTTCTTGAACAGCAGAGGTAATGCCTTCAATGCCAGAGTCCTACTGTGTGCATCCCTGAATGAAAATCAAGATACACAGTAAAGGCTCACCTGTTTAAACATGGTGTGACCCCATGATACTAGAAGGCATGACTGCTGATTAATATATTCTCTTGAAACTTGCATAATGTCTTAAACATAGTAGGTACTCACTAAATGTTTGTTAAGCAAATGAAATAGGTAACTAAGTTAAATAAGAATTATTATTGAAGTTGAAGAGCAACAATTCAAAATTTAAAGAGGTTAAAGAGGGTTTTTCCCAACATATGGATGTTAAGAAACTGTTTAATATTATAAATGGTGAATGACTTTTTTTTTTTTTGGTGAATGACTTTTTTGTTTGCCTTTTTATAATGATCTCCATTACAATCCTTGAACCAAACAGATTACAAACCTGTTATGGCCTGGGCCAAAACCAGCCCCACGGAGCTGATCGTCAAGGGAATGGAATTTACTCTGGCACACTCTTATGTAGGATGCCTTTCCAAGGCCGTACCCCAAGATGCCAGCAACTGTGAAAGCAGGTTAGGAAAGACACAACATTACATAAAGGTTCACAATCTCCTCAATTACTTATCTTCTAGAATTTTCTTTATCAATGCAGTAATTTTAATATTTAAAAAACATGATCAATCAATGAACAAACACTCTGAGAATGAAGCCCCCTCTTAAAAAGCAGGATTAGGAACTGGAGACTTTCTGACACGGTTTCGATTTGGTGGCAGAAGGGCCAGGAGAGAGAGCGCGAAGACGACCCAAGCCAGGCAGCCTCGGGGAGGCCCAGCCCGCAAACGGAAGTCTGAGGCCACCCGGGGAGGGGGAGGGGGGTTCGGGTGGTGCCTACTGGTGGCCTCCGAATCACTGGGTAGGAAATTCTCTTTATGGATTGGAGCCTGGGGAGCTGAGCCCCTCCTGCCTGCAGGGGGGAAAGAGGTCCCCAGACAGGAAACCTCCCGGGGGCAGCCTGCTCCTCCCGCTGGGAATGAAGTGCAGAGTCAGCCGGAAAGCATCCTCTTTGTGCGCGACAGGCCTCTGTACTACACATGGAAGAGGATAAAACCTCGAGTGTGTGGTTAGGAGGATGTCCCCGATTTTGAAACATTGTTCATTATGTTCACTATAAAAAATATTTGACAAGACTGGCCAAAAGAAGAAAATGTGTCCCTAATGGATCTGTCATTCTGAGGCTCTGCTCTAGATCATCCTCTCATGTATCCGGCCGGGCACTCCTAGTCCACGCTTTAAAGAGCACTGTCTAAGGTGCGGTCCCTGCTGCTTAACTTGTATCAGGAAGTGTTGAAGAACTAAGAACTGTGAAGTGGCAAAAATAAAGACTGAGTTTTCAGAAAGTCAAATGCTGGCATTTTGGTCAGCCTGGGCACTCATATCTCCAGTTGTGAAAAACATCTATTTAAAAAAACAACTTTTTAATTTTTTTACTTCTATGACTTACGTGCAACTTTAGGCAATGATCCAAATCTTGGGTTAGCTGCTAAATAACCTAAGGAGTAATATACAAATACATTATTATTTCCTTTTACTCCATATTTAAATTCATAAAGTATAAAGAATCGTCAAAGTTGAAGGTATACGCAAATTCTTAATCAGAAGAAATGAACTTATAAGAGTTATAATTCAATTCTTGATTGATTTAAGTCTCAAATAGCCATTTTTGCCAAGTAGCAAGTGTTAGGTTTAATGTATAGAAAAAAGAACATGAAACAGACAATTCAAGAATTGTTTAAAGATATGAAGGCAAAGACGAAGCCAACAACTAATTTCTAAGCAATTAGTCACTTCTCCCTCCAGAAATGTATTGCTCACGTAACTCCACACAGAACTTCGACTTAGAAATTTCGGGTACCGCTCGTGCATCACTGAACAACAGGGATGCGCTGTAAGAAACGCATTCTTAGGTGATTTCATTATTTGCACGGCCTTCAGAGAGTGCACTTACACAAACCCCAATGCTACAGCCTGCTACACGCCCAGGCTGTACGGCACAAGCTACTGCTCCCAGGCGACCAGCCTGTGCAGCACATCACCATATGAAACAACACGAGGTTAAATCAACCACGAGAGAAAAGGGAAACATCAGAGACACAGTGCACGCGAGAGGTAGGAGGCTGTTGCGAGCATAACCTGGTGCACTATTTTACAGCAAATGTTTTTATCAGGAGGAAGAGGACACTCTAATGATAAAATACATAGTATAGCAATTACAAAAACCAGTAACATAGTTGTTTATTTTTACCATGAAGTAGTATGTACTGTACAGAATGTATGTGCTATACTTTAATATGACGGGCGGTGCAGTAGGCACGGTTACGCCTGTGTCACCTCACGCACGTGAGAGATGCCTGTGCTTCGACACCACCGTGGGTATGGTGTCGCTAGTCCAGAGGAATTTTTCGGCTCCATTGTAATCTTAGGGGACACCCATTGTAATGTCATCTGTCATTAATCAAAGCACTGCTATTCGACACATGACTGTACACATGCCACAATTTTAAAATAGAAACGTTTCAGCCTGTGATAAGCAGAATCATGCCTCCTAAAGATGGCTCATCCCAATGCCTGGAAACCGTGCGTGTGTGACATTATGTAACAAAGGGGAACTGCAGCAGGAAATGGAGTTAAGGTTAATGAGAGGACTTTAAGAAGGCGTCTGGACCATCGGGGTGGGCCCGATGTAATCACAATGACCCCTGAATGTAGAAGAGGGCTGCAGAGGCAGAACCAGAGAGATGGCGGCGTGAGAGGAGCTTGACTTTATAGCCAGAGGAGGGGCCTGGAGCCAAGAAGAAACGTGGGGGGTCTTTAGAGGTTGGGAAGGGAAAGGACGCCTGAAAGTCCCCAGAGAGGAACGCAGCCCTGCTGACACTTGGGGTTCAGTGAGACCCGGGTTGGACTTCTAACCCCCAGAACTGAAAGAAAATGAATTTGAATTGTTTTAAGCCACGGTGTTTGTGGCAATTTGTTATGTGCTTGTAGAAAACTAATCCACAACCCTGGAAAAGAGTATTTGCACACATGCAAGAGAGGATAGATTTTGAGAAGTTTGATGTTCCTAAAACACAATCCCTATTGATGTTGTGACCATATTTTTTGTTGTCATAAAGGGTCTGATAATAACTTATTACTGATCAATGAATATATTCTATAAAAACTCTTCAGGTTATAAAAATGAAATCATATTTAATAAATCAACTTAAATCCATAAGAACAACATTGATTGAAATGGGATTTTTCCCAGGTAAATGACATGTGGTCTTTGAGATGCCAATAAAAACGAGATCATCTCTCATGTCTGCAGGGTACAAGCCCTCTTTCTAAAATCAAGGTCAGCAGCAGTGTTCAATATAATGGGGCTCCCACGGGGTCAGGTGGCTTCCTGCTCTTTGGGAACTAGGCAATGTCTGAGGGTTTTCTGGTGAGGTGGAGACAGGGAAAAAGAAGGGAGCGAGGAAAGAAGAATAGAGAGGTCAACGGGGAAACCCTAATTGCCAGGGAGAGGTTATGTGGGAGATACAGGGCGGCTGCTAGGCCTCACCATCTGTTGTACAAATTAGACAGAGCACCCTTTCCCAGGCAAATATAGCCTCTCGCCAGGACAAAGGGCTAGATCGACAGAGCGTGGTGGATTTTGTCCCCACTGACCTCGTCCCCGGAGCATCCTCGTACAGTGAACATTCTGTCTGACGTATACGTCAGACCGAATGCTGACACGTGTCTAACGTTCTGTCTAACATCTCCGGGAGACACAGGGACTCTGGTGCAGAGAAAGGCCCTGGATTTGTTTCCTGTGGTTGTTGTAACAACTTACCACAAACTTGGAGGCTTAAAACAACACACGTGTGTTACCTGACAGTTCTGGGGCTCAGACACTCAAAATGGGTTTCACTGGGCGTCTCAGTCTGTTTGAGCTGCGATAACAAGACTGAGGGGCTCATAAAGGACAGAAATGTATTTTTGTCCACCACAGTTCTGGAGACTCAAGTCCAAGATCAGGGTGTCAGCATGGTTGGGGAGGCCCCTGTTTGGGTTTGCAGACTTCTTGTGGCCAAAAAGGCTAGAGAGCTCTGTGGGGGCTCTTTTGCAAGGAGAGCGCTACCATTCCTGAGAGCTCTGCCCTCAAAGGCTCATTACCTCCTAACGGCCTCACCTGCTAAAGCCATCACTTTTCAGTGTTAGGGTTGTAACGTGTGAACCTGGGAGGGAGGGGGCGGGACACAAACATTCAGACCACAGCAGCAGCTGAAATCAGGGCTGCGTTCCTTTTCGGAAGCTCCAGGGTTTCCCGCCTCCTAGTGTGTGGAGGCCACTCACGTCCCTGGGCCCCGGACTCCTGGCCCCTTCTTCCATCCTCAAAGACAACTGTGTGGACGTGAGTTCCTCTCATGTTGCCATCTCTCTGGTTCTGTTTTCCAACCCAACTCTTAAGGACCCATTTGATGACACTGGGTCCATCTAGAGAATCCAGAATAATCTCCCTCATTTGAGGTCAGCTGCTTAACGGCCTTTCCGTCTGCAACTTTAATTGCCATTTGCCATGTAACCTAATGTAGTTACGCATTCCGGGCATTGGGACATCTTCCGGGGAGGGGGTGTTGTGCTGAAAACAGTCAGAAGCCTGCACAAAGAAACGCTTCACCACCAAATAAAGGCCACGCACCCAACAGCAGCCAGGAGGGCCACAGAAATCTGGGCTCTCTTATGTGAAATCATGGAACAAGTGTCGGGCCTTACCTTGGTGGACTAGTCCCTGGGTAACGAGCATGCTTGCAAGAGAAAAAGGCAGAGCTGCAAAACAAACATGCCCGTCAGTACTGGTGCTTTAGAGCTTGGTGCCTCACCTGGAAGTCAGGGTGCATGACTCTCAGTTTTTCCCTTGCTTACCGGGGCAAGGACTTTTTAGTCATTTGTTATTTTACTTATCCAACAAATATTTACCTGAATAATTTTCCTGGGGTCTGTCCTGGGCAGTGAACAAACCTAAAGCCCATAGATCTCTGACGTCCCCTTTACCAAACACCCACCACGCACCAGGCTCTGACCACGACTCACTGCACAGGCACCCCAGTGGGTTAGGTGTTGCCTTTAACTGTATATTTTGAAATTCTCAATCCCACATTGAAGTAAAAAACCAGTACTCAAAACTCCTGCCTATGCTATCCAGGATTGTTGTCTGCTTTTCTCTTTTGTGACGTTTTGTTGTATAATTTGGATATGTCTATTTCCTGAGGATTACGAGACTGCTATATTCATGTTAAACACAAGCGATGTTCAGCTGTGATTTTTAAAACAGGCAAGTTAGTCTGGAAAGAGTGGTTTCTAGTTTTGTCAAAATGCATCAGATGACTTCTTCCAAAAGCAGAGAGCGATGATAAACATCTAGCTCTTCCTAGCGACCAAAACAAACAGCAGCCAATTTTTGTACTCATATCTACCCAGTGGTAGGCCAGTGGGTCATCCTGAAGTGTTACTCTGCTAGGGCTTCATTCAATCACTTACTCATGGGCTGTCAGAAAAGACACGAACTGCTAGGAGCACAATCATTGTAGTAATGCATGAAGAATATCAACTTCTAAAGGGTGTTTCTTTCCAAACAATCGATACTGAATTTGAATGACTTGAGAAATCAAAGTGGGTATTTCAAAGTACAATTGCCCCTAAGTCAGCAATGTTGCAAACATCGGGACTCTATCCATAGGCTCTACTATGACATTTCTAAATGACAAATCATGAATTTTTAAAATTGGAACAGACCTTTAAGCAAAGCCTGAATTCACACCCTTGTCTTATTTATGTAAGACAGGCGGGGGTGGGGAGCGTGGAAAGGAGAGGACTCAGCAGAAAAGGTTACTTTAGAGACATTGTCGGAGAAGCATCAATGGATGCTGTCCATTTCGATTCCCTCCACGAACACTGACTAGGTACTTTATACATGTGAAGCACTGTGCTTGGCTCTGGGATGAAGCAATAGACCCGAAATTATTTCTGAATTCAATGAGGGTTAGAATCTGGTGGAGTTTAGGAAGGTCTACTCTTTCAGAAAATTCTAAACCACACTCTTGGTACACGCTCTGCGTCACATCAAGGCAAGTGCCATGTGCCTATCACTTTGTTGCGGCAAAGTGCTCCTAATCAGATATTACCTCTGCCCTTAAAGGTGTCTCAACATGGATTCAAAATTTAACAGCCCAGATATCAAAGTTCTTCAAGGGATTATGCAAAGTCCCTGCTCAAAGCTAAATCATCACCATAATTCCAATGTGGCTCTTACGCAGTGTATTGCAGCACACAGAGTGTTAACAAAGGTTAAGAGGAGGGCAATTTACCTCTCTTCCAGAAACTTTCTTCTTGACACTCTCTGATAATCTTTGAAATCTCCCCTCTGTGGATGTGCAGTTTTGATTTTGGACAAAACAACAGGCTCTGTAAGGAAAGTTCTATGGTGAGTTGACTGAAATCATCTGAAAAGCATCCGCTGTTTCCTGGGAGGAGGGCAGGACAGGTTCTCTGCTCCAGTCACGCAACATGTGGTTCTGTGCTGGCTGCCAGCTCAGAGCAGTGACCGTCTCAGCTCAGCGGGCGCCTTCCAGCTGGGAGCACTGGAGGGACCCAGGCAAGGGAAAAATCCCAGCTACAGAAGCCGAGACTGACTCATTGACGAGCGAGCAGGGAGCAGAGATCTGGTCCGAAAGAACCCCTGCTGAGGCCACGTTCTCCTTCTCCCCTCCGCCCCATGGCCATGCAGGGCAGGGTTCCTGCTGTGCTCGCTACCCACTCCCTCTGCCCACCGGCTCCCTGCAGACCCACTTCAGTGTGGCCTCCGCGGGCAAGGGAGAGAGTCCCCTGCAGCACGTGGTCTACACAGTCCAAGCACTGGGTCACACGTTTTGTATTTACAGACCTATATTCCGATTTACCTGTTTATGTTTCTGTATACACTTTTAGACTACGAACTCATCAGCAGACGGCTTTGTATTTTTTCTGCATAGTTTCCTTTTTACCTTGATGGGTTTTTTTAAAACATATTTTATAAAATATGATCTACACATAATTTCTGGTGCACTGATTGATGTGTTTGACATAATTACTTATATTAGTTCTGCAGTATTTTTTTATCATGTTAATATGCTATAATCTGGACTGACACCCATCTTTCATGGTCTTCCTCCTTCATAGATACATATGTGTTATTCAGTCCTATCCGCATTCTCTGCTCTCATTCCCCTCTGCCCATCACTGTCATTCTGGGTGTTTAATATGCGTCTTTTGTATGGATGCATTCTTGCAAAATGTTCCTTGTTTTGGGTGCATGAATCTTTTGAATATAAATAGTATTGCTTTATATATGTAATTTCATTTTTAAAAATATTATTAACTTGCCCTGGCTGGTGTGGCTCCATGGAATGAGTGTTGGCCCGCAAACTGAGAAGTCACTGGTTTGATTCCTTGTTGGGGCACATGCCTGGGTTGTGGGCCAGGTTCCTGGCTGAGGGCGTGTGAAAGGCAATCAGTTTATGTTTCTCTTGCACATGGATGTTTCTCTCCCTCTCTTTCTCTCTTTTCCCCTCTCTCTAAATATAAATAAATAAAATCTTTAAACAATATTTTTAAGTCACCCCTTTTAAGATCCACCCCTCTTGCTTTATTCATCTGCTTCTGTCCCATAAGTGCCCAGCATGCGTCCAAGTGCACCCACCACACGTTCCCTGTGAACCCACGTGAGAACATTTTTCGGCTATATATCTGAGTGTAAAATACATGGTGTGCCCATTTCCAGTCTGAGCAAGCCTCGCCACCCGCTCTCCCCAGCGGCTGTGCCCCAGGCTCACCCCCCAGCATCGCCTGCGCCTTCCTCTAGGCCCGTAGGGCCTGCATGTGGCTACTTGCACTGGATTCCAACGTGGCTGAAGAAAGGACTTTCCAACCCTGGCATTATCCAATTTTCTAAATTTTGACAGTCATTAGACTGTCATCAAAGGTGTAAAGTCATAATTTATGGTCTTATTTGCATTTCTCTGCAAACATGTGTTTGAGCATCTCTACATATTCTTCAGCCAGACTGTCCCCTTCTCCTCCTGTGTTGAGGTAAGAAATTCCTGCAACTGGCCCTGGGCGGTGATCTGTTGTTATATAATGGCCCATTAATTTTTTTTATCATGGTAAAGTACACATAACATACTATTCAGCATTTCAGTCACTTTGAAGTACACAGTTCAGTGGCATCAAGTACAAACACCCACAGTGTTGCATGGCCGCCATCACCATCTAGTTCTACAATGTTTCCACCACCCCAGAAGAAACCTCATACCCACTAAGCAGTCTCTCTTCATTCCCTCTGCCCTTCAGCTCCCTGGCAACCACTAATCTGCTTCCTGTCTCTGTGGATTTGCCTGTTCTGCAATTTTATGTAAACGATATCTCACAACAGACGACCTTTGGCGGCTGGCTTCTTTTCCTCAGCATAATGTTTCCAAGGTTCGCCCATGCTGTAGCACGTATCAGCGCTCCACTCCGTTCTGTGACACAATATTCCACTGCACATCCTGCCTACCAGTTCATCTGTCAGCAGACATTTGGGCTGTTTACACCTTTTGGCCATTGTGAATAGAGTTGCTATGAACATTCCTGTACAAGTTTTTGTTTGAATGCATTTTTAATTTGACTGGGCCACATGGTAATTCTGTGTTTCACTAACTGAGGAACCACCAAACTCTTCTCTACAGGAGCTGCACTGTTTTATAATCTCACCAGCGAAGTATGAAGCTTCCAATTTCTCTACAACCTTGTCAACGCTTGTTACTTTCTGTGGTTTTTTTTTTTAAGTTATAGAGATGCTGGTGGGTATGAAATGGTATCTCATGGTGTTTTGGATTTGCATTTCTTTAATGACTAATGATATTGAGCATCTTCTCATTTGCGTGTTGGACATTTGTATATCTTCTTTGGAGAAACACCTATGCAGGCTCTTTGCCCATTGTTTAACTGGGTCATTTGTCTTTTTGTTTTTGAGGTGTAAGAGCTCTTTATATATTCTGCATACTAAACTCTTATCAGACTTATGATTTGCAAATATTTTTCCCATTCTGTGGGTGGTTAACTTACTTTTTTTTAAGAAAAAATTTCACTTAATTCATTCCTTACTAAAAGCCGCTCTTGTACTTCCTTGTTTGTGAATTATTTATGTAGGTTCTCTGCCATTTACCTCGGGGAGTTTTAGTGTTTTTCTTGTTGAGGTGCAGCTCCTTGGCTTTTGAAGTTTACCTTGCTGATTTTGCCTATGCTTTTTTGGAACCTTGTGTTGGTAGTGGATGTCAGTGTGGAGAACGATCACCATTTCTTGAGCACTTTCCCGTGGGCTGGGCTCTGGGCCAAGCACTTTACATGTGTGATCGATCACAAGGCAGAAGGACCCTGTGGCACCTGCGCCTACAGAGCTCCGCAAGCAACCCAAGCAGGGGCCCCTCTCTTCTTTCTCTATAACTCCCCACAGCACAGCCCACAGAGGTGGGGTCAGGGTGGATCATAGCGACAAGGAGGAGGGGTTCTCACTTCCCACTTCCCTTAGTTCCTCAGCATGCACTTCTTATCCCAGTGTCGATTCTCTTCCTGGTTCTGCCTGGGCTGAGGCAGAAATAAGGAACACCTTTCTTTCTCCTCCAAACACACACACATATACATACACACATCCAGGGTTGGGGCCAGGGCTGAGACCATCACAGCAACTGTGTGTCCCGTAGTCAAGACAGAAGCTCCTGTGGCAGCCTCCTTAGCAGACTCTGGCGACCCTTTTCCGTACAACCGTAAATGTTTTATGGCTCTCCATTTCATGGAGGCAACTCAGGTGTCTAAATACTTCTCCTTGTGACTTGATATCATTTGTCTGTTTGCCTCTCCTAAACTTTGCTCCTCAAACATCACCTCCCCCATAAACTATTTTTCACTTGAAAAGTTGATCCCAGAGAACATAAACTTCATCTACCCATCACACTACTTTTTCTTTTTTTCATGTATGTATCTCTGAAACACGTAACATTCATTCTTAACAAGCTGAAAAGTTGGGCTTTCAATCTGATGGCTAATTCAGTGGTTAAGGACTCTGCTGTCTGTCCCAAGCAGGAACCCCTGTTAGCAGCTTACACTTAGCAAGGTTATCCTTGGTAACAACAAAAGTGTAAAAACAAGCATCCTGTAATATCCTGTTAGATTCAGTTAGGAGCTTTGCTCTGTTAAGGGCAACCTCTTCAGTCACTGACACCCTATGTAAGAGTTGCTTAAGCTGGATGCTAAACAGAGAATTGTAACGAAAGGATTTTATAAATAAAAATTGAAAAGATGCTTTTCGAGGCAATCAGAAACACTCTTTTCTTCCCCACTTCATTTTCCCTGAACCCATCCAACAAAGTGCCAGACTGAAAAAAGTAAGATGGGTGGTCAAGGACGAGGCTTAAGGAAAGTCCTGTATGATGTCCCTTTTCTGATGGCAAACTGAAAATGTACCTGCTGGCTCGGCGGTGGCAAATGAGGTTTATCATGGTTTCCATGCGTGGACACTGATGCCATGATGACTTGGTCTTTGCTTCTCTTCTACTTGCATGCACTCAGCTGCCACTGTCTAAGGAAAGTAGAAGAGACTCACTGTGCTGTGTCTGAATGTTCCTATCAACCTTAAAAACAGCCTTAATATCAACTCACCTCTTTGGAAAAAATTGCTTTCATTTTGTCATTAGTCAATATTCAACCTGCTGCAAACTTACTTTCTAATCCCCCGCCCGACGATGAATGTGAAATGTCATGCCATGAACATTGAATTGTTTTACTACCTATAAATTGTGTCCTAAAAGAAGTTTCAATTCATTACAAGACCATTACCTACACAAATATTTACTGAATGTCTATTAGGTGCCAGGCCAGGGAATATAAGGAAGAATAAGGCAAGCTCAGTGCTAAAGGAACTCACAGTCTACAGGGGAAGAGAAATGTCAGCAGTTACCCAACATGCCGAGGGCTGCCCTGGAGCTAGCTCCGCCAGGGTGCTCAGGAGGGAGTAGAAGCAAGGTCTGATCACTCTGGTCAAGTGTAACACCAGAGACTATGACTCAGGCTTGTAGAGGGTGGATGCTGACTCCCCAGCATAAAAACCAGTTTTAAAGGTGCCGTCGTAGTCCAGGCAAGGAAGTGTAGACACCTGAACCAACACCCTGGATGGAAGCATAGAGATGGCATATTTGAGTCTGGAAATGTTGAATTAGCGTGCCTGTGGGCACATACGTTGGGATCAGCCAATCGGGGGCAGAATATCCGAGGATCTGGGCCTGAATTAGAGAGTAAGAGGAGATTGGGAAGATGAATTTGGGAGCTTCCAAATTCATGAAAGGTAAAGCAAGAAACATATAAAATTGTCTAAAAAGAGTATTGGAGAATGTGAACATTGTGGCCAAAAGAATACCAGTGGAAGAAAAGAAAGACCAGGGAAATGACTGGAAAAAAAATAGCTAGTTCAAAGGGGGAGGGAATGAACCACTGGTCACATGGCTCAGAAAGATGATTTGATAATGGTGGACATAGTCCAGGTGGACTCTGAGCCCCCACCTGGCCAATGGCCACTGCACTCTGCAGTCTTGGACTCTGTGACTTCCACTGATTTCCCTGCCAAATGAACCTTTCATCATACGCAATTCCACTTCCTGCTGAACTGCCAGGCATACAAGCCAAGGGGGTCCTTACCTGTACCAAGTCTCACCTTAGGTACCTAATGTTTTTGTAAAGGCAGCATAATGCCCTGCCAGTGGACAGTCCTGGAATCAGAAAGACCTGAATTTGGATCCTGCCTCCACTCCTTGCTAGCCCTGTGTTTTGGGGCAAATGATTTGCTGTATTTGTGCCTCAGCTTTCTCATCTGTTAAGTGGGGGTAATGAACAAGCAACCTCGAGGGGCTGTTGTGAGGATGAGGGATGAGGTCCTTAAGCCTCAGCTCAGCACCCAGCACCCCGTTCACAGTGAGCGTGTGAGGGGGGAATAGTGGACTTGGGCACCTTAGGTCTTGAAGATCTCCATGAAGTCTTTGCTGACCTAAGGCCAATTAGATTATCTGTGCTCAGAGTTAGGCCATTGCTTTAAATCAAGAAGCAAAGATACATAATCTCAGCTTTGGTGGGCAAGTCCCCTGCACACAATTAATCATTGGTCCACATCTACGCAAACCTTCTGAGGGTCTTGCCTTCCAGGTGCAGCTCCTACCACTAGGCCCTCGTCCCTCTGCTTCTTGAGGGTGGGGAGGGAATGCTGACAGGTGGGCAGTGGGAGGGGGCTACGCAGCAGGATCAGGGTGGGGGCAGGTGGTCGGAGGGATGGCCCCGAGGGGGGTCACCGTACCCTGTGATGGGGGTAGGGATCAATCTGCCGGAATCCGCCGCTACCCCCAGTCAGAGGGCGGGGGTACAAGCCCAAGCCCACCGGCCTCACCCAGGTCCCAGCCCCAGCCCGAGCCAAGGGGAGAGGAGCCTGCAGGGGCGGCTGTAGGCGGCCCGTGCTGACCCGCGGGGCCCAAACTGCCCGGGCTCCTGAGGACCCACGGAATAAAGCAGCCAGAGGAGGCCACCATCTCTCCCGCGGTCACCCCCTGGCGGGCTCGCCTGCGAGGTGAGGCTCTCCCCGCAGGCCGCGCGCCCTCAGAGCGGAGCCCGAATCCCTCTGCTGTTGCTGGCACAGCCCGGACCGGCTGGGCTTCCCGGCGCCCGCCCCTGCCCGTCGCGGCCCACGGGAGCCCCAGAGCCCCTCACCTCTCTTCTCCGCGCTCCCCCGAAGCCTTCTCCTTCCTCCTCTTGCTCCGCCCCCACTGCTCGCTGCTTCTCACTCAATTGGTGCACCCTATTCCCACCTTTCGCTCCCTTCCTCTCTCGGTGGCTTCAGCACGCACACGGAACTCTCAGGCCCCAACCCAGCTCTGGCTACAAACTCCCGCCCCACCCTCAAGAATTGTCCCGACATCAGGTAGATCCTACCTCCTAGGTGTCTTTCAAATCACTCCCTTCCTCCCATCCACAGTGAACCAATCATTCACCGAACACCTCGCAGGGTTTGGCATTGATGGTCACTGATCTGCAATTCTTTAAAAAAATTGAGATTCAATTGACGTACAACCTTATATTAGTTTTAGGTGTACAACATAACAAGTTCACATTTGTATACATTGCAGAATGATCACAGTGGGTCTAGTTAACCATCCATCATTATACATAGTCACCTAGTTACTCCCTCCCCAACTTCCCCCCTTGAAATGAGGACTTTTAAGATCTACTTTTTTTTTCTTTAAGATTTTATTTATTTATTTCTAGAAAGAAGGGAAGGGAAAGAGAAAGAAAGGAAGAAAAACACCGATGGAGAAAGAAACTTTGATCAGTTACCTTTTGTTCGAACCCTGATTGGGGACAGGACCTGCAACCCAGGCATATACCCTGACTGGGAATTGAACCAGCAACCTTTCGGTTTGCAGGATGATGCCCCACCAACTGAGTCACACCGACCAGGGCAGAATCTACAATCTAGCAACTTTCAATATGTAATATAGTATTATTGGTTATAATCCCTGTGCTATACATGACATTCCCATGATTTATTTCTTTTGCAACCACAAGTTTGTACCTTTTGACTCCCTTCTCCCATTTCACCCACCCCCTTGCAGTCCTTTCTTCACCTGTTTAGGGTGAGTACCACTGTTCTCTTTCGATGGTCTAGGAAAGGAAGTTGTGCGGGGCCATGCTGGGAGCTTGCAGCCAAAGCCGAGTCAACTGGTCCCAGGGTTTCTCCTCCCACTGTTCTTTGTCCAGGCCTCTAGCCTCCTGCCACTCCCAGCCTCCGACTTGTGGTGGGGAAGCTGCTGGTGCCTTTACCTGTGTTGAGTTGGAAGAGAGGTTGTGGACCATGCAGAATGGCCTCATCCTTCCTCACCTTTCCCTACTGTTGACATTGGCCTCTAGGCCTGCTGCCTGAGCCTCTCCACAGTGCTTCCCCAGCCTCCTTTCTGTTCCTCATGTTCACCCAGCTTTTTCTGCCGGGGCCCTGGCATGGAACTGTCCCCTGCCTGGGGTCCCCTCCCCATCAGTCTTGTCCTGGTATTTTCCTACTCATCCTTCTCTGATTCTTCCTCAGGAAGACGTGCCTTGACCCCCACTTAGCCTAAAGTAAGGGTTCCCTTCTTTTTCATAGCAGGTTCCCTTTTCTTTCATAGCACCTATTACAAGCTGTTATTATGTAATTATTATTACTTGTTAGGGTGCTTATTTGTTTTAAGCCTGTTTCCCCTGCTTCAGTGGAATATGCATGAGCTATAGAACAAAATGGTGTCTGTTTTGTTCCCTGTTGTGTACTTGGCATCCCAGATGTAGGAGGGGCCCAATACATGGCGGATGAACAAATGGATGAGTGAGCCTGGGTTCAAGGCTGTTTGCCAACACACTGCTGTTTTGGAGGATCCATGCTCCTGAGTACATCCCCCAGACCACATTCCTCCATGTAATCCACTGGTGCCTTTCTCTCCTTTCCCCCTCCAAAGAAAAGGGGATATAGTTCCATTGCCAAGTTTACATCGTGTTACCAGAAGTCAGAGGTAACCCTTTGCTATTTTGTGGTCTGAGAGGAACAGTGTTTTCACTGGTTTTGTGATTAAAATGAGCAGTTCTCCATTGCCCAGAAGTTTAACTTCCAACAAATACACCAAGGACCTTTGTCTTTTAGTCCAGGTCCCCACCTTTGTTTCTACTCCCACCAGAATGTTCCAGTTAATTGACTCAACTAACTGGAACTTAGGGCTATGTAACGTGCACAGATTATATGAATTATCACTTAGTATTTGTTGGACAAGCCTGGTGTGCGTGTGTATAGTACCAGGCACTTTCAGAGATAAAAGGGCAACGGTCCTTCCCTCAAAGAATTGATCACTTCCCAAAGAATTAAAATAAAAAAAACAAAATATACTTGGTCCTAGAAGTACATAATACTGAACAGACTCTTTCTTAGGCGTAGCTTTAGCTTCTTACTGGGCCTCAGGGTCATGACTAAAGAGTTATTATCATTGGCTAATGCTATGAAGAATGAGGCTAATTTAGTGCCAAAGCGTTCATGGCAGGCCCGAGCTTGAATTATTTCCATAGCGCTGCACTGTCCTCCGGCAAGATCCAAATTCATTAGCAGGGCCCTGCATGATACAGCTCCTGCCTGCTTCTCCAACACATCCATCTTAGGCTCGCCAAGGGTCTCCAAGCAGCTGATATTCTTCCTTCTCACTCTTTTGCACGTGCTGGAGCTTCAGCCTTCCTCTGCTTCTCCACCCTTCTCTCTTTTGCTCTTTCTTTTTTAATTCTCACCCAAGGACATGCATATTCATTTTAGAGAGAGGGTAAGAAGCGAAGAAGAGCGAGAGGGAAAGAAACATCAGTGCAAAAGAGACACACTGATTGGTTGCCTCATGTATGCATCCTGACTGGGAACTGAACCTGCAATCCAGGCATGTTCCCTGATCAGGAATCAAACCCCTGATCTTTCAGTTTACAGGATGGCACTCCAACCAACTGAGCCACACTGAGCAGGGACCTTTTATTCTTAAAGATAAGTACAGATGCATGGACAGCAAGGGAGGGAGAGGGACCCAGACAAGCAGTTTGGGGGAGGCAGGAAAGAGTACTACGCTGTGTGGCTGACTAAAGACCCGGCCCTAGTGGGGAAGGGGTGGGATGGATTAAAAACAAAATGCAGGTCGGAATCCAGATCACCGCCATAGGAGCTCTGGACTAACTCACAACCACCTCTTCCCTGCTGGTAAAGGGGCTCTGACTGGTTTCCTGGTGGGGAGGTTGCCAGGAGCATGTGTGTGTATGGGGGGGGGGCATCTTGGTGGCCAGTGAAGCCCTCATCCTCCACTTGCCATCTTTTCTTGCCCCAGCTCTCCACTTGCCATCTGCCTAGCTCATCGCGTCTCTAAGAGTAAATAGTGTCCAATCCCACAAAAGCAGACCAGCCGGGTATAAACGAGGTGGCACTCGAAAGACTGAGCTCGGGTTCTGCTTTCCTTCACGAGCTGGCACCACCGTCACGACCGGCGTGTGGCCAGCTTGGCTCCAGCTTTGGGGCCATTGACCCTGGGCTCTGGCTGCTTTCGGTTCATCTGGATTTGATATTCAGACTGCCAGACTCAGCGAGAGGCAAAGCAGGCCTGAAAGAGCATGATTTCAGCCCAAATGGGGAAAATCTGAGACATGAAGATGAGTGTACGTTGATCTGGTCGTGTCTCAAGTATTCCTTGAGACAGGCCTACCCTTTATTTCCCTCACAAATGCTACTAACAGAACATCCAAGAGTATCTCTATTACTTTAATATTCCAGCACGGCTTGCCGTACAGCCTACGACATGCAAAGCCCTTTGACTATATAAAACAGAATGTTCCTGAAGTAGCAGAGAGAATACATGGTCAAGCAGAGGCCGGCAATATCTTGTGGCAGATATTTTGACCTCATTCCAAAAGAGTATTGTCATCTTCGCTTCCTGCTGTTGGTCCCAAGCCTATCTTTAGAGCAGCCGCCCCACATGACTAGTCGGGTGGGCAAAAAGCAATTTGATTTTCTGGTGGAAAAAAAATACTCATAACAGGCTGTAAATCCAAGCATAGCTCTAGCTCCTTGCAGGATATAATTCCATGTTAGAAGAAAGGCTTATTGATTAAAATCTAATTGATAGAGAGTTGGGTAAGACTTACTCTTACTTTTTTTTAATAGACTTTATTTTTTAGAGCAATTTTAGATTCACAGCAAAATTGAGAGGAAGATACAGAGATTGCCCGTATCCCCTCTTCCCCCTCTCATGCACAGCCCCCCATTATCCACAGGCCCACCAGAGTAGTACACTGGTTACAGCCGATGACCACACAGGAACATGTCACTATCACTCAGAGTCCATAGTCTACATTAGGGTTCACTCTTGGTGTTGTACATTCCATGGGTTTGCACAAATGTATGGTGACATGTATCCATCATTATGGTCTCATACAGAGCAGCCTCACTGCAGTAAGAACCCTCTGTGCTTTGCCTGTTCATCACCACCACCTCCTGGTCCCCCAACCCTGCAACTACTGATCTTTCTAGTATCTCCATAGTTTTTAGCTTTTGCAGAATGTCATGTAGTTGGACTCATAGAGTACATAACCTTTTTGGACTTGCTTCTACTTAGTAATATGCATTTAACATTCTTTCATGTATTTTCCTGGCTTGATAAGCTCATTTCTTTGCAGTGCTGAATAATCCATGTCCAGACATACCACAGTTTATCATTCTTCTACTGAAGGACTTCTTGGTTGCTGAAGGAGCCAGGGAAACGAGGAAGTGATTGTTCTCAAAGTGATTGTTCTCAATTTTAGCTGCTCGCTCGACCATAAGGACAGGGTGCACTTAAAGGAGGTACAGAGCTGATTGTGTTAAGTCAGCTCCTGGAACGCCAAGTGGGGGGGGGGGGGGGGGAAAAAGACCACAACCACAGCATGAGGTTTAAGAGCCAATCAGCCATACTATCACGAGCTGTCCACGAGCTCTAGTAACCAGTCCTTGGTCAGATCACGCACCTTAGCATAGCCCCTGAGCCAATAGCTAACTGCCACCTTCTGCTTCTGGAAGTTGCTTGCTTGCTCGCCTCTATAAGAACCCTAGTCTGTAAGCGTTCGGCGCGACTCTCATTTGCAGCCATTCTGGCACTCGTGTGTCTCCGGAGGCACCCCGAGAGTTCGCCCCTGCGCAGGTAAAAACTTTGAAACTTTGGCCAATAGAACACCTCTGACTACCCAGCGGTCTCCGACCCTTCTTGCTCGCGAGGACGGGATGTAACAGTTGCTTCCAAGTTTTGGTAGTTATGAATGAAGCTCCTGTAAACACCTGTATGCAGGTTTTTGCACGGACATCAGTTTTCAACTCCTTTGGGTAAAAACCAAGAGTTGTAATTGCTGATCATACAGTACGAACATGCTTAGTTTTGTACGAAGCTGCCAAACTAACTTTCAAAGTGCCTTTGCCGTTTTGCGTGCCCGCCGGCCACGAATGGAGAGTTCCTCTCTCTCCCCATCCTTGCTAGCGTCTGGTGCTGTCAGGAAGATACGTTTGAGAGGAATTTCTGGGATCCCTTCACTACCCCCTCATCAGCCTCCTCACCCAATCCACTTTCCTCAGCATTAGGGAAACCAGCATCGGAGTCTTGGTGATGCACACCTGAAGCGTCGCTGGAGCTTTAGCTGCCCCTGCTTCAGGCAGTACAGCCTCACCTTCCCGCTCCAGGGCACCTCTCGGGGCACCTGCACGCTGTCCATCCCGCCCACCCCCGCCACCCACACTCTTCTGTGGCGAGCTCATAGGTAACACTTGCTCTCCGGTCTCACTGGAGACGGCTGCAGACTGGGGACTTCGGGCACGGACTCGGAACCACACTGCATGGGTCGCAGGTACAGCCCTCTGTCGTCTGCATCTGCACACACATAACTGCTGAAACTGCGCCGGCACACAGGTGGGCAGTGCTATTTGAGTGCCCGTCACCACTCTCCCCAGGAAAGCCCTCCCCCGCCTCTGGTGCAGCGGCCCCTCCCGTGTGCTGTTTCACTGACCTCTTTATTTGCCTCTGTTCTAAGATGTGAGATCCCTGAAGGTAGGGACTGTCTTTTTCACCTTCACATCTCTGGCTGGAAAACCACATACAAATCGAGATATTAATTTATGCTATTAATTCAGCAGGCCAAACAAATAGAATGTAGTCTTCCCCATTCCAAGAGGGTTTCCACCGGTGCCCCTCCCGTGAGAATTGTTCATGACTTTTGCATTATAGAAATAAAAGAAGGCTTCACAAATAAAGCATCAATCAAGCTGCCAGAATATCACAACTGTGTAGAAGCTTGCAGGGAGAAGAGCCCCAGCTGAGAGAAGAAGTAGTGGACTGATCCTAGAGAAAAGAATTTGAGCTTTTTGAGAAACTGGGAAGGGAACAGGGCTGCACGGGCCCTGGCCTGGTGGAGACCATGGCTCTGGCTGTGGAAGGACCTCAGGCACAAAGGCTGCTGGGTGCCTGGAGGGAGGAGGTTTAGTAAACATTTGCCTTGCCCGCCTTCCAAAGCTCCAGGGCTGGGCCCGGGCCCACTGCTTTCAAGGTTCCCCATGGATTTTGAGAGGACCTCGGTAATGGCCAGAGAGGTCTGCTAAAACCTTCTGGGTGGTGCCAGATCCCTTGTCCACCCTGGGGAGAATGGTAACCTCTCTGTCCTGCCCACACCAGGTTCACAAGGTTGAATTTCCTGAGCGGATGGGGACTCTGAACAAATGTAACTTTAATTGAGACACAAGGAAGCATGGCTTTCTTTGACCCTTTGCGAAGTGAGCTAAAATCCACACGTACCACAGGCCCATGGTCCTGGCAACAGCAGGTACATCACCTCTTTGGTGAGTGGATAAATGCCGGGAGCATCTTGAAATGTATCCAGTGTGTTTTAATAATACCATAGGAACAGTTTTTGTTTGCCTAGAGGTTTAAATAAAGGTTTTCCAGGGCTATTTCCTGAACATTTAAAGCGCATTGAAATGACCTATCTTTGAACAAAGATTCAAAAGACTTCGTGACTGCGCGTTACCAACACGTTGAATTTATAACTCACCAGTCTTACATTGCTGGTCTCCTAAGCAACTCAGCCTGGCTGGCTTCCACTTCAGTTGTGGAAGGACTGGCGTCTCCAGTCAGAACTTGTACCGCAAAGCCCCACCTAAAATGAGAGCGCCTGTTAGATGGAAAATCAAAATCCAGCTTTGCCTACTGGCATCCATTTCACAAAGCTGCCTTGTGCCTAGCAATTCCTCGCCCTTGCTTGGAATGGAAGCGGTTTAGTCTCTTTGCTTTTCTTCTTCTGTCAATTACTGATGATCATTCATCCAGGGATTACTCAAATGAATTAAATCTGGAGATAATCCAAAAAGATTCCTTTAGACATTCATTCCCCTCTTTAGTCTTTAGAGAATACCGGTCAGTAGACCTGCTCAGTTTCCTGGCCTAAGTATCAGAAGAGTACCTCAAAGACAGATAATAAGTGGAAAAAAAGTAGCAACAGGCTAAACACCACAGCAAAGCATTCAGGCGAACTCAAAGGTGGGGTGGACGTGCCATTGGAGAGTCGTCCTGGACTCTCAGGAAATCAGCGCCCTCACAGCAGAGGCTGTTAGAGGAGAAAAGAAGTTTGCGCACCCCACAGACCTCTGACCAGTAGACAATACAAGTGGCCTTTATAAAAGTATCCCTTCAAACAAACTGACACATAGTGATTTAGGACTACAGTTTATCTTTGTCATTAACAAAATAGAAAGAGGGTAGATATGATTTTATAACTATGTTTCAGGTTTTCAGTTAGACAAATTCTGTACCTCCATTACTATTCCAATGGCTTTAATTTTTGAATGTTTTTCACCAGTCTTGGATCTTTAGTACAGCTTAATGTTGTTTTTTTTCTATTTCTTTCTGTCTCTTACTTTAAACACAGCTTTTGACCTTTAGAATGAATTCCAGCAGCACATTTATCAACAAATATTCAAGATTAAATGGGTATATATCTGAGCAAGCTCTAAATGATTAGGTTAAAGTTTACAGTCATGACAGACTACAAAAGGTATTCGTCTCTGCCTACTGAACTAACAGTCTCAGAAATGAGAATAGTAATTGTTATGATGTTACCACTTCAGCATTTCATAAAAGCAAGACAGTATTTCAAATGTGTGTGTAAGTAACTTGGAATCCTCTGGTACTGAGTAGCAAATGCTGGGTCCCGTGTTTACACTGGACCTGCACAGTGTTTGCGGGAGACGTTTCATCGAGTCTCACCACAACCCAGGACTCTCCCGGGTCTCTTTTCCTTGAGGGAACCGACACCCTGGCAGCTTAAAAACTGCCCCAAGATCACGTTGGCAGCTGTGATAAAGGCTGGCCTGAAATTTAGATTCAGTGAGTAATTCTTCATCCAACCAATATTTATTGAGCACTTACTAAGTGCCAGACTCAGTTCTAGCTCCTGGGCATACGGAGGCAAACAAAGACATCAGATCCCTGCTGCGGGTCTTGTGAGCATAGTTGAGTTTAGTGGTAGAGGCGTACCTACTTCCACAATTAGGCAGCACTGCGGCTGTCTGTTTACAAGTTTAGCCCTATAAGCTGATTTGATTTTCCTGAAGGAAAAAGGCCCCTATACTCATTCTAAATCTCTGAAGAGTGGAAGTGTGGACCAAAGCTGGACTCTACCAGAAAAAAACAACAACAACTCTCTTTGAAATAGCTTCTTCCTTAAAAAACAGATAAATAAACAGCCAACACACATACAGACACTTCTCTTTATCTTTACAAAGTATCATCTATTTTAGACAAACTTTTTAACAAGAAGCAGTACTTTTTACAATTCAGGGTTGCCAGGCCAGTTGACTATTTTTTTCCTATTGTTTCCATACATTACATTAAAAAGGACACGGCAGTGCATTTCCATCATAGAGTGACCTGAATTTGCACCAGGTCAAGGCTTTTGTTCCCTTAGCAACCAAGCTGCCCTTGCGCTGCTGTGAACAATGCCTGCAGTGGCTTTCACACACGGTCAGGAGTGCAGGAGTCTGGCTGGTTTCAGCTGCCTCCTCCTACCCTCCGGCCTGCTGTAATCTAATTTGGGATTTCTCAGAATTCTTCTCCCGTCAGGGGCAATGTGGCTGGAGAGGCAGATGCAATAGAGAGGGATCATGGATTGGGACTTCTTCTGAGAAGAGCCTACCACACCAATTCAGGTGCCCGTGATTTACTGAAGGTCCGGTTGGTCTCAGAAAAAAGGGAGAGGAAAGCAGCGGGGGGCAGTGGGAGGAAGTGAGCGATGGCGTGGCCTCAGCTGGTGCCGCGTGGCTCTGGGGAGCGCTGGATGTGAGTCGTGCTGCAGAGCGCTGCCCCTCTGTACTCACGGTCATTGGCATCGGCAGCTGGATGAGGTTGTTTCTTAGTCCCTTCAGGCGCTGTAACAAAAACTGCAGACTGGGTAGCTTATCAACAACAGACATTAATTGGTCACAGTCCTGGAGGCTGGAAGTCTGGTATCAGAATGCCAGCATGCTAGGGGGAAGGCCTCCTTCCAGGTTGCAGACTTCTTGTGTGTCATGTGGCAGAAGGGGCTGGAGAGCTCTGAGGGGTCTCTTTTATAAGGGCACTGATCACACTCTGAGGGCTGGACCCTCATGACCTCACTTCCCAAAGGCCCCACCTCCTAATACTGTTACAGTAGAGGGGCTGGATTTTCAATATATGAATTTGGAGGATTGGCAGGGGAGGCACAAACTTCAGACCACAGCATTCAGCTAAAATCAAGGTGCCAGCAGAGATGCATTCCTTTCTGGAAGCCCCAGGCAAAGGCAGCTGACAAGGGAAAAGAACTAGATGTTCTAAGTTAAAAGGACAGCAGCCAGAGAGGGAGAGAAAGGGATGGAACAGTTAGCCTGTTGGTAACTGCGAACAGCTCTGACCAAAGACTGCTCACATGCCTGTGTATCTACTGGAATTTAAGGTTCCTTTCCTCCCCTCGGTCTATAGCTGATACAAAGCCTGTCAGAACGGCTTACGTCTTTCTCCCCACTCCTGATGTACAAACCGCTTACAGAACTCCGGACATCGGACATTGTTGCCTTTGCTACCCAGCTGTGCTGCTGGTGGTTTAGACTCCATGTCCAAGATAGCCTTTTTTTTCTTGTTTCTTTTAATTCTGTCTTTTGAAGGACTTTATTACACCCTTTTTTTAAAAAAGATGTTATTTATTCATTTTTAAAGAGAGGTGGAGAGAAGGAGAAAGAAAGGGAGAGAAACATCAATGTGTGGTCGCCTCTCAAGCGCCTCATACTGGGGACCTGGCCCACAACCCAGGCATGTGCCCTGACTGGGAATCGAACTGGCAACCCTGTAATTCGCATCCTGAGTTCAATCCACTGAGCTACACCAGCCAGGCTGAGATAGCCTATTTTTTGTTTTTGTTTTTATTTTTTGCTAGCAATGGCCTCATAAACCCTTTCTTTTAAAAAAAACTTTCAGGCTCTGGCTGGTGTAGCTCAGTGGATTGAGCACCGGACTGTGAACCAAAGGGTTGCAGGTTTGATTCCCAGTCAGGGCACATGCCTGGGTTGCTGGCCAGGTCCCCAGTTGGGGGGTGGCAGTATGTGGGAGGTGTGTGCTAGAAGCAACCACACACTGATGTTTCTTTTCCTCTCTTTCTCTTTCCCTTCTCCTCTGCTTGGAAATAAATGAATAAAATTTTTTTAAAAAAGACTTTCAGCTGTGGGAGTTTAATTACTCTTTGTTGAACACAATGGAGAAATGCTGAAAAGGCACCTTGTTGCCTCACTTCCACGCCCTCGGTGGTTCAGGTCTGGCTCCAGACTCGCCTATCCCCCCACACGAAGCGATTGCCCTGCCTGCAGACGGCCCCTCGTCCTCAGAAAGCCGCACAGCAATGAGGGTGGTAGCTGGAGCGAGAGCCTTGGGTGCCGGACACTTCACCCCAGCAGCTTATCAAACCAGTGCTTCCAGACACACAGTATTTGTCCCCGAAAGGAGCTATGGTGATTTTGTACAGTGTCAACTTAGTTTAATTGGAACTACACGTTCCAGGTACCCAGATACAGGAAGATCCTGTGTGGTTCAGGGTAATGGTTGTTACAAGAAAAATCTGTGTGATATTTGAGAGGCAGAAACAAAGCAGCAGCCAGTACACTTGGAAGGCTGGTGGAGGCAGTTAGGGACAGCCACAGAGGTGTCACTGGGTCCCACTTTGGTCCTGCTTTCCTTACTGTGAGTCCGGCTCTTTCTCCCGACTGCTCGCTCTGCCGACCAGCAGTGACCCCACCCCGCAACATTCTGCTGTGAGCTCACAGAGGAGGAGGCCACAACGGTCTCCCAGGTCCTTCCACGCTGGCCTCCCCTGGGGCTCTTCTTCCATAGCTGAGAGCTCAACACACTCGACTTGTCCACCTGCATCAGGGTCGGGTAAAGTTTTCCTCTGAGCCTTGGCCGGTGTGGCTCAGGTGGCTAGAGGGTTGTCCCAAACACCTAAATGTTTCGGGTTTGATTCCCGGCCAGGGCGCAATACCTGGGTTGTGGGTTCAGTTCCCGGTTGGGGCGCAAGAGGTGACGCACATGAGAGGCAACCGATCGATGCTTCTCTCCCTCTCTCTTCCTCCCTTCTTTCTCTATAACTCAAAAAGCATGTCCTTAGATGAGAATACCAAATAAAAATGTTTAAAAAGGCTTTTCCCTGGTACTTTATGGGCCTTTTCTTCCTCTGCTCCTCCCAAAACTGTGAAAGGTCTAACTCCATAATAAGTCAGATATCTCAGTGGTCTGACTTCTGAGACTTTCTGATTCAGGAGGGAAATATAATTATTTTCATCTCATTACATGTCCAAGGAAATCTTATCATTCCTTCAAGAATGCCACGACAGACCCCCTTCTGCCTGGCTGTCTTCAAACATAATAAATATGTGTCAATGTAATTGATGTGACATTGTCCTTCAGGATCTGGTGGGAGGGGGCACTAAAGAACTCTTTTTAGGAGAATCTTAATCAATATGTAAAGATCCTCAGCAGTGAGACAAACAGGAGCTGGGGCCAGAGATACGGTGGAAAGGCAAGTCCCCCCACCCTCGGATTTTGCAGGGAACACAAAGTCCTCTCCCACCTCCCCGGAGGGACCTGTCACCTCCTGGTTTCTTCTCCGAGTTCTTGGCTTGAGTCTTTTCCGGTCATCACACAGCACTATGCCCAAGGGAGGCCAGCAGGACTTATTCGGTCACGAAATTGCTAAATTTACTCATTCATAATCTCGAGGTGTAATGGGAAGCATGCTGGCCTGGGGCTCCGAGGATCTGGTTTCTGGTCCTACTTGCCAAGATCCCTTTGTGGGATTAGGAGAGTCATTCAGCCTCTCCTGGCTTCAGTTTCTTCACAGTTTGTTTTCTAATGCAGTGTTAATTGAGTAGATTCCATCCTCTACAGGGTAGGTGCTGTGAAGGGTGAACTTAGAACCTACTTTTTTTTTGTCCTTTGTTCAACACGAGTTTTTTTATGGGGGCCATCAGAGCAGCAGAGGCAGAAAAAGGATGGATGGCCCTTCAGTAGCTCACACGAGCTGAGAGCGGAGCATAAAACACACTCCCTGCAGGCGCCTGGGCTGTCAGCAGCCATCTGTGGGACAGAAGAGAAAGAGCTCAATCTATGGAGCTTCACACACTGCGTTCTATGTGGTTCTACCACCTACTAAGTGAGCAACTCACTGGGCTGCTCTCAGCCCCACCTTCCTCATCTGTGAAATGGGCCAATGATCCCCACCTCCCAATGGTTCTGAGATGATCTATGAGATCACCTGTGGAGTGCCTGTATATAGTAGTAAGTGCTCCAAAATGCTTCTTTCTTTTCTCTCCCTTCCTCTGAAGATTTTGGGCAGCTTTTAGCAAAATTTAAAGATGCTGGATTTCTTTAAGTTCTGCAATATACAGCTCCAATTATAGGGACATTTTTGAATGTTAAAATATAAGGCATTACACATGATAATTTGGTAACTAAACCAACATAATTGTAAATCAATTTTTAATGTTCCTGAACAAAATGTTTTTAGATAAGAAAGGATATTGAAATAAATATTGGAAAGCTTCCCATTCACATCACTCCATTCTTTTTCCAAGGGTCAAGTTCTATTTTCACTCTGAAGTTTCAAAATAGGTATAAATTTCTCCTTCCTGGTGGTGGAAGTACCCAGTAGGGTGTAAATGCTGTACCAGATGCTGACTCAGAACTGTCAATAAACCATCCCAAGTTACTAAGAATGAAAAGTGTGGGCATTTTTAGAGCGATGCTGTTTGAATAAATATTCTGGGGAGAACATTTCGAGAACTGACTGTATTTCTCCTTTTTTTTTTGCCTTTTATATTTTACAATATATTTTTGTTTTATTTTAAAATATTTTATTGTTTATACTGTTACATATATTCTTTTGAATTAGTGTTTCAGGATTCTTAGGATATATTCTCAGAAGTAGAATCACTGGGTTAAAAAGCAGTTCAATTTTTAACTTTTTAAAAAAGATTTTATTTATTTGTTTTCTAGAGAGAGAGAGAGAGAAGGGGAAAGAGAGGGAGAGAAATACCGATGTAAGAGAGGAACATGGATCGGGTGGTTGCCTCTTGCATGTGCCCTGAACCCCAAGGCTTGTGCCAGCCTGACCTGGAATTGAACCAGAGACCTTTCGCTTTGCAGGACAAGGCCTAGCCAACTGAGCCCCACCAGTCAGGACCCACTATGGTTTTAATTTGCATCTTGCTGATGGCTAGAGATGTTGAGCGTTTTTTCATCTGTCTATTGGCCATCTGCATGTCTTCCTTGGAAAAGGGTCAATTCAGGTCCTTTGCCCATTTTTTAAATTGGGTTGTTTGTCTTCCTGGCGTTGAGTCGTATAAGATGTTCTTCATGTATTTTGGAAATTAAACTCTTACCCAGTATATCATTGACAAATATATTTTTCCATATGGTGGGTTCCCTTTAAAAATTTTTTTAAAAGATTTTATTTATATATTTTTAGAGAGAAACATCCATGTGTGACTGCCTCTCAGGTGCCCCCACCAGGGACCCAGCCCACAATCCAGCCATGGACCCCAACCTGGAATTAAATTGGTGACCCCTGGTTCGCAGGCCGGCACTCAGTCCACTGAGCCACACCAGCCAGGGCCCCTTTTCAGCTTGGTGATGGTTTCTTTAGCTGTGCACAAGAGAAACGACTGTATTCTAAAGAGCTCTTCGTAATGATAATATCTGTTAGCATGAGCGAGAATGAAGATTTGTACTTCAGAATAAATGGATAATGCGCCCTGGCCACCTGGAATGTACACTTTTCATTAGTCTTCCTCTGCATTTGGCACATCCAAGGGAAGAAATACAATCGTTAACTAGAGAGTTTATGTGTAAAGTGTGAGATGTGAGAGCTCTTAATTTTCTCTGCAGCTGAATGACTATGTAGTGTAGGTTGGAATATGCAAAATAAAACACACAATTAAATTATGGCTTGACAAGTTTTATTTACCCAAGGGAGGTCTTAATTCCTTTTTTTAAAACATGGGAACATT